CAAACATTTGCTTTTCCATCTCCATGTAAATTGCCTTCCTCCCCTTTGAAGTCCCAAACCACTACCCTCAACATCCTCCTTTGTCTTTAGCTGAAGATGGTATTTAAGGTGATGGCTTGAGCCATTCTGATGAGTGACTCAGTTTTCCTGGGTTTCTCCCATGTATACATGTTGTTAAACTTCATTTGATTTTCTGCTGTTATTCTGGCTCATGTCAATTTAATCCTTAGACCAGCCAGAAAGACCTAGAGTGTAGAGGAATAGTTCATCCTCCCCTTCAGCTGAAAATACACATACTCTGTGAACCAGCAGTTCCACTCCTAGATATATACCCTATGCATACACATGTGCACCAGTAGACCAGAAAAAAGATGTTCGTAGCAACATTTTTCATAATTGCCCCAAACTGGAAACAGCCTAAAAGTCCATCAACAATAGAATGGATAAATAATTTCTCGTAAATTCGTAGAATGGAATGCTATAATGCAACGTTGAAAATGATGAACTAATGCTACATACATCAATGTTGAATCTCAGAAACATAGTTGTAAGGGAAATGAGCCCGATACAGAAGGATACATGCATTATAGTTCTATTTATATAAAGTTCGAAAACAGTTGTATTTGGGGATTCCTATTTGAGTCGTAAAGCTCTAATGAAAAGCAAGAAAGTAATAGCGATACTGTCATGACAGTGGTTTCTTTTAGGGGAGAGGAAAGAGGTTGTGATTGGGCAGGGGCTCACAGGTATTTCGGAAGTTCTGACAATGTTCTATTTCTTGATGTTTGTGGTAGTTTCCTTTATAATAACTTATTAAGCTGTATATTTACATTTTGTGCATTTTCTGTTTTTTTTTTTCCCCCTTAAGTAAGAATGTTTTCGAACCTGGAGATAACATTAGGATCTCGCTCAGGGTTTATTGTAAGAATGAAATGAAACCATGTAGAGCTCTTAGAATATGCCTGGCACTTTGTGAGACCTTAATAAACGTTAACTATCCAAACACAATAAAAGTTTGATGTTATTACTGTTTTTATCTGTTGCCAGTATTTCTCAGTTTGCAGTTTGTCTTTTATTTCTGTTAATGCTATCTTCTGAGTTATTGGTCTTTCCTTTATAATTTCTTTCATCACTCTTAACCATAGAAAGACTTTTCCAATCCAGAGATTTAATATTTATTTTCTTGCAGTTTTAAAAGGGGTTGCTTTTGAACATTTAATTCTTTTTATTCCTTTTGTTACCACACAAAGGGCACGACCTACTCGCCACAAGACAAAAGCCAATTGTCCAGAGGCAAGATGGTGGCAGAGAAAGGGCATTTATTAAGTGATAAGCTAGCAAATTGGAAAATGTGGGGACTAGTGTCCTAAAGAACACTCTTAAGAGGGGCACAGAATCTCAAAGCAGTTATATAGGCCAGTGGGTTATAGAGGAGAGGGTTAGGAATGTTGACCTTCTGGTGTTACAGACTGGGAGTCGCCACACCAGATCTTTCAGTTGTCATCGATAATGGATACCAACGTAGAATCTCTGTCCAGTGGTCATCACATTCCTAAGGAACTCAAAAGAACAAAGTTATTGTCTTACTGTAGCTGGGAGGTACATACATGAGTAGGGGTCATCAAATCTACAGAGCAAGTACATCTCCTGGAGGGTGCATATCCAGCTGGGTTAGTTAGTCGGGGGTCATTCAAAGTTAGAACATGGTCTCTTTTCTACAATATGGCTTCCCTTATGTGAGCCTTGTGTTGCTCCAGTATCATTTTCATAACAACAAAATATATTATTAAAGAATTAGTACACACTTGCATAAAATCTACATTTATTTCTCAAATTGATCTGGAATTCTTATTTAGTGTCATGAGAGAAAGTAAACTGATCTTTTTTCCATACAGCTAATGAAGTCCCCCTAGCACCACTTAAGTGAACAATTTGTCCATTCCCCACTGACTTCTGCTGCCCTCTTCTCTTACATATGTTAAATTCACAACCATTTGCACCTAAAGCATAGACAGGAAACAACATGGTGCTTGAATGGAATGTGATAATATGACTGAAGGGGGGCCGCTGCCTGACAGCAGAAGGTGTAGCTGCAACCAGAGGGAAAGAAAAAGAAAAGTAGAAAAGCCTCTCCTGTCAAACAAGTGTTCCTTAAATTAAGATTCCGTGCTTGTGTGTGACGCACAAGCCACTTGCTTTTATGACGTTTGGCTGATCACTTCACGGGTGTAGACCTCGGTTTCCTCCTGTCTAGTGCAGATAGGCTAGCACCTACATCACAGGATGCTGTGCACAGGAGAGCTAACCCGAGTAAGGAGCACAGGCTTAGGAGTCAGTCAGCCAGGCATCTCATCCCTGGCTCCACCACTAACTAGCTGCATGACCCAAGGTAACTTTCTGACTTTCTAGCCTGTTTCCTCATCTGAAATATGTGGCAATTAATAGTAATTAAATTAATATTAATAGCAAATTAGAAAGTAATAGTACTAGCGATCTTATGGGGTTGCTACAAGTATTAAAGAACTACTGCGTTTAAAGGGCTTAGAACAAGGGTGCCTGACACATTCTAAACTTTCGGTAAACCACAGTTGTGGTGATTTTAATTTTGATCGCCGTTATAGAAGGATCAGGAAGAGAAAGCAGATTCAGCAAAGGAGACTGAGAAGTAGCTGCCAAAAAGATCTGGAGGAGAGAAACTATGAGACAGGGATGTCATGGAAACCCAGGGAAAATAGTATCTAGAAGGAGGGAGATAATGCAAAAGAAGGTCATTCAAAGGCTACTTTCTCCTGAAAAGACTCATTTAATCTCTTGGCGACTAATGAGAATGAAGGGTGAAAGGAAGGGGAAAAACTCACATTCTTAAATGAAGGCTATCAACACAAAATTCTCTAAAAGCCTTCTTTCAGCTAACTTTCTTATTCTGATCTGAATGCCCAGGTCTCCCATGTCTTCTGAATAGGGAAAAACATATTTCCTGAGTAAAGGAAAAGCCAGTGTCACACAAAGTGAAATAAAGTCTCAAGATTGCATCATTTCGGTGAAATAAAAATTTAGACAATTTCGAGTTTACACAACAGAGAAGAGCATGGGGGAGGGCAGAAAAGGGGATGAATCACAAAACAGGTTTTCAAAGCAGGGGTCTGTACTGAACCCCCAAGCTAACTCCAGTGAAAAGGAGGGCAGTGGGAGGGGTAGTATTTACTTATTTTTCTTTTTACTCTACCTGATCCCAGAAAGAGATTATGACAGCATAAACTGCTTATCTGGGTAAATCATTCAACAAGCATTTATAGAGTAAAACTGAGAAAAAGTGAGCAGAAAGAGGAATGAGATTTTAATCTAGGACAGATGAGTGGGCAGATCCCCTCTAAGGGTAGATTCAGAGAGGGGTGAGGAGGAATAAAGGGCTGTAAACCTACAAGGGTCAGAGAATGTTGGGAGCCCCTGTGGCTTTGGGGGCCTGAGTGGATCTGCCTCCTGCCTGGGGGCAGGGGAGATGTCTCCTTTGGCTCTGGAGAGATGGAGGTGGCTGCCTGGGGCCCAGAAGTGCCCCAGAGGGATGCAAGGAGTGGGCCTTTTGAGACTTTGCTCCTGACCAGTTCTCAGCTAAAGGGTCCCAGGCAGAGGGGCCCTCCCAGTCTCCTTCTGGCCATGAGGGTTAAGGAAGTGAGGCTTCAGGCAAACATGGAATGTGGGGTGGGGGAGGGGTGATGGCAGAGCACAGGAGCCTGAGCCTACAGCCCTCCACCAAGAGAGAGTGTGGCTCCAGGGAGGGCAGGGTTGTAAGGTCAGACTGTGGAGTCTTGGATGGAGCAGGAGCAAGAAGCCAGAGAGGAGCCCGTGGGGGTGATTCTCGGAGGAGAAGCACTTAGAGGCAGGTCCTGGGTGTGTCAGCCCAGGGAAGGCTGCAGTGGGCTTCCTGCAGTGCCTGCCTTCTACCCCTCCCTCGGGGACTCAGCCTGGGGCACCCCTTTGACCCTATTGTCCCTGTTGAGCAGGCCATCAACTGCAAGCATAATTACAGCCCCAATACCCTCCTTCCCTCAAGACCACCCAGCTCAGGATTCTGTGTGCAAACTCCAGGTCTGCAATTCCTACCAGGCTACCTGTCAGTCAAGATGTGAGTGCCCTGCCAGGTCTTGGGTCGTCGTGTCCTCTCCCCCTCTCCTCCTCTCTTCCTCTCCCCTACCCATGCAGCTCTATGCTTCCTCTCCTCCACACACCATTTCCCACTGCAGCACATTCTGTCCTCTTATTTCTATTTCCTTCCTGACAAATGTCCTCAGGTCTGCATTCATTTCGCTTCACTCCCTGCCTTAAAGGAAATCATCCCTCCACCAAACTTGTCATGCTCACAAGGGTAGGAACTGATATACCTGCAAGGAACATGGAACTCTCAAGAACTGAAGTCACACGTCATTTTTTATCACCCTCCAATCTGAGACCATGAGGTGGAATAGGCATAGGTGTCCAGGAAGGTCCTTCTGTGCTCTCTCTCCCCTCTTAATGCCCTCAGTTCTAAAAGGGTATGTGGGCTTTCTAATTCCCATATTTTTTTTCATGCCCTGGCGTCCAGATTGTTTTTCTTCCTTCCCTGGCTATTTCCATTGTTTGTGTCCGGGAGAGGTTAGCTTGGAGGCCTTGGGCTGCTGGTGTCCTCTAACATGTAGCTAGGGTGAGGCCTGGAGGGTGCTGAGCCTCTTGGTACTGAGCTCTCATAAGTAGCTGCTTTCTCTGTAACTGGGGATAAGGCAGAAGGTAGTGTCAGCCCAAAGGACAGTCTTGTTGTTGCCACCAGGTGTTGCCCAGAAGCAGCAGTAGCAGCAATCTAACGAATGTACCCAGGGAAGGCCCCTACCCAAACTGAACAATGTAATGGAGCCCCTGAAGTACCCATTTCCCATGTTTGCCCCCACTCCCATCCATCCCATCATCAGATTTCTCAGGATGCATTAGAGAAGAAAGCATTGGAACATTATTAACTAGTGAGTGCAGACTTTTAAAAAATTTTTCAACAGCTTTATTATGATATAATTGACATAAACTGCACATATTTAAAGTATATTAAATAAATGTATAACATTTGACACACGCATACCACTGTGAAACCATCACCACAAGCAAAATAAGAAACATATCTGTCGCCCTCAAAAGTTTTCTTGTGCCTTGTCTTTTTTCTTGTGCTCTATTGCAGCCCAGGCAATAGCAGGTGCAGACTTGACTCTGTTATGGAGGAGACAGGTCAGTTGTGATAAGGGGCTCTTTGGGAGATATTCAGCCTATTTCAGCTTCCATTTTCCTCATCTGTAAATGAAGTGGATAAAAACTCCATTTTGCAGTATGATCTCCTCCTATTATAGCTTTTATATTTAGTTCTCTTATTTATTTTTCCTCTATATTCCTAAAAGTAATATCACACACAGAGACATTAAACTTAATACTTATATACGTTCATTGACATAGAAGTCCACAAGATATATTGTTTGGTGACGAAATACACAGTATAGAACAGCAGTTATATTTGGTCACTTTTATCTATACATATATCTATCTGTATCCACAGGTATAGGGAAATATCTAGAAGGACATTCATCAAAGGGCTGACAATGGTTATACACAAGAGGAGAGTTTCAGGTAATTTGTACTTTCGTTTTTGTATTTTCCTTCCTGTTTGAAGGTTTAAATTCATCAAGGAAATAGACACATACAGAGAATAGACCCTCAGGTGGATGGAGGAGGGAGCAGGGACAGGTCAGGCCATCCCCTCCAAGTTGCTGGTATCCCTGACCTCTTCTTCCCCAAAGAGAGCCACTTTGTGGATTAGTTACTGTCACCGCCCCCCGCCAGTTTTTCCCATCACCAGTTTCTGAATACAGTTAAGGGTTCACTTAGGCCTGGGTCTAGCACCTTACTGTGGCTCAGAGGGGTCATTGTGTTCACCAGGGACCTCTCTTGACCCCTCCTCCTTCATATGCGTCAGCTCCTACAGGGCGATGATCAGATTCTCAAACACCCCGGCCTTGTTGCTCTCATTGTCACCGGTTTCCTTTGAGTGGCCCTCTTCGCCACGATATGAACAGCGGATCATGTATTTTCGCTTCCTGGCTCTATGTATATCCTCGGGACCATCATTCTTAGACCCAGAACCATCGCTGGTGCAAGGAGCTTGAGCCTGGGAACTGTCGGGGGAATCAATGACCAGAATTTGATCCTGAGGTCTGGCCCTGCCTCTGAGGAGAGGGGCACCCATGGATGTAAGTGGAGGGTCCTGAGACCCAGGATCACACCCTCATCTGAGTCATCAAGGGTATCATCTATCTCTATCACTTTGCAGTCAGCACTGCTGATCACTATTAGTGGAAGGCCCTGAAATGCCACAGGGCTTGCTGCCCTCTTTCTGATTAGCTCAGATCTTTTGGGCCACCTCATTTTCATAAAAGTGTCATCCCAATCCTCTTCTCCCTTATCATCTTGATTAACTCCAGGAAATTAGGAAGATGCTCCTGATCACCTGCATACATCCTGAGAAGATGCTTCAGCCTGAAGTGCAGGTCCCCATTCAGCTCAGTTCCTAAAAGGAGCTGGTGCAGGTGAGTCTGGCTCGAATCTTTCTGAGCTATGATCCCTGCCTGAACAGCATTCTGGAGCTGCACTTCTAAATGGATCACATAAAGGGAGGCTTTCTCCCCTTGTGCCTGCAGAGTGTTAAAAAATTTACCATGGGCAGTGACACTGCTTTCAGACCCCCCCCCCCCAAATATCAATTTCATCACGTGCAAGATATCTGCCACACTTAGGTTGGGGTTGGCCGCCTGGAGCAAACGCATGACCTCCTGGGCGGGGCCCCTAAGGGTTTTTATCAAGTATTTGAGCTTTTCCTCCTCAGACATATTCCAATCTGGCAGGACCCCATTGACTTAGATCCCCAGTTTTCCAAGGTTTCTTCCCCTTGGACTGGCAGCACCCTCCCGGAGAACAACTTCATGTTTCTTTCTGCCGTGTTGACCCTTAAAGGACCAAGACTCCTCCCCAGGGACCTCAACATGGAATGGGCCCAAGGCGGCAAGCGTGTGTTCTGTCACTGGCTATTACCCGCAGGTGAAATGATGCTAGCCATGACACACGATGACGCTCTATATGAATATAACAAGATGTTCAGGCTTTTTAGAAAAGCCTAATTAATGTGCAGGAAGAATCCCCAGAGCAATGTTCGCGGGCTCTTCCTTCCTTGCATCTCAGAAGGGACTGTAAAGAAAAGGAAAAAAATGGTCAATAAGGTAGTCGACTGCAGGGAAGCAGTCTGCACTTGCTCCCTCTACCTTCCTGGACACCGTGGAGTACATTTTATATTTGCCCACTACCCTAAAAATGCCTTGCAGGAGACTGGCAATCACAACGTTCCAGAGCTAGTGGGTGTTCCCGTGCTAACAGGGTGCTTTTCTGAGCCACATCCATCCCCTCCTGCCAGTCCTCCAGGAGAGAGAGCAACTGTTGTTTCAAATTCTAGGTGAAATAATGTATGGAGCCAATGTCGGGCTCTCAAAATAGAGTGCAGTGGTCTAAGTCTCAACAGATTTGTGTTAATAAATAAGATCTCCATCAAACTGAGACTCGCGGTGTCAGGTCTCAACCACATCCCCTTCTCAAAATTTCCCGTTATTAGATACTTAGACGAGCTGGGAAACAAGTGCGCGCCTTCACTTTCTGTTTTGTAACAGGTGCCGTCCGCGAGAAAATCTACAACTGGGGGTTGTAGATCCCAGTCCTCAGGGCGTCAAGACTGCGCGGTCCCGGAGGGCAGGGAAGGGAAGGGTCAGAAGCGTGTCTCCTCCCTCATCCTGCTCGCCCACCCTCCGCTGTAGCCAGACGGAAAATTCCCTCTCCCACCTTCTGAATACAAGCCAAAGTGAATCCTCCATTACATTTTCTTGGGGAAACCGTCGGCCTACCAGCTCTGCAATCAGCCACAGAGAATTCAAGTTCGGATTCGTCTTTGATGGCCTGCCACGGAGAAAGGGAATAGGAGTTGGACACTCACACGCACATATTCCTCCCCGGGAGGAAATGAGGAAACGCGAAGGGGGTTCAAAGCAGGCAGCTTGCGATTCTCCCAGCCTCGACCCTTACCATCCCCCTGAAAACGCCCCCCTGCCCCAATCCAGGCAAATCCTACCTATTCAGCAGCATCCATTTGAACCCCACCTCCACTCTCAGGGCAGCCGGGCCAAGAGAGCGCTCCTTCCCCTGCCTTGGAGTTATCCATTCCCCAAGCCGGGAGCCGCCCAGTACTGCTGGGGCTTCCCCGTCCTCTCTGCGCGGGGCAATCGCGCCCCCTGTCTACCTGTGCTCTGCTGGAGGGCAGCGGATTCTCTGGTGTGGACAGCCGTGGATGCCGCCTTGAGGTATCCGCAGCCCTGCAGGGGAAAGAGATAACGCCTCCTCGGCCGCTAAGCGACCCAGAGCTGCCTAAAGGAGCAGCTTGGTACCGCCGCCCAGCGAGCGGTAGCCGAGTAGAGGCAGCACGGTTCCCATGGCAGCCACGGCCGCCCCCGCCCACCCGCCGGGACCTCCCAGCAGCCGCCGCTTCTTTTAGTCTCTGCCCATTGAGACAAAAAAGCGTGATGAGCCCGCTGGCGCGGCCAATCGGCGGGGCGCGGGGGCGGCGTCCCCGCGCAGCCTCCGGCCCCAGGCCCTTGCTCGCAAAAGGGGGAGCAGTCGACCCGGGCTGCGGCACACCGGCGCGGGAGCCGGCGCGGTGTCAAGTGCAGCTCGGACGCACCGACCGGGCCGATTTACATTTTACCCGTGAGTTTGCTGCTTCCCCCTCGCTTCTCTTCTCTCTCTCCCCTTCTGCCTCCACTCTCCTCCGCGCTTTGAGACCGGCTGCCTTAAACACGAGGTGGGACAGAAATCAAGTGAACAATGAGTTCCTCACCTTTGTATACGGGGAAGGGAGGGGGGAAGCATTTACTGAGCGCTTTCTGCGCGCAAATGCTCTTGCAGGGACATCTCATTTGTTCTTCTCAGCAGCCTTGTGAAGGAGGTAGCAGCGTGCCCGGTTAGCAGAGAGGGAACTTCAGTACCCAGGCAGTATGGTTAAGAAGTGCAGACTAAGTTCATACCCAAGTCGACATGTCTGATTTCAAAGGCTGCCCCTTGTAAACAATCCTCTCTACTCTCAGATTGAGGGTTAGAGGAGAAAAACCAAATTGGAGATGGGAGGGCCCATTTGGAACTATGTAGAATTAGTGAGCAAGGTCTATTATCTCCATTTTACAGATGAAGAAACAGAAAAGTTAGGCATCTTGCCCTGCATCAAAAGGCAGAGAAGTATAAGCATCCGATTATGCACTCAAGTCTGTTCTCCAAATTCCAGCTATTTGCCCAGCCGAGCCGCCTAGAGAGCATTTTTACATTGGTGGTCTCAAACTGTCTCAGTCGCAGTCTTGATGTGATGGTAGTGCTAAGGGAGGGGGCGGCAAGGCAACGGGGAGTGGAGTGGGGAAGAGGTAGACAACTTTTATGTACAGAAGAGGAAACTGAGGCACTTTTCTTTCTCTTTTTTATGCTATTTTTTTGTGCTACAATAAGCTGCCTGTTTATTAAAAAAAAAAAAAAAAGTAAAACATGATTTCTATAGCTTATGACCCCACAGCAGACAGGGCTTGGAAAGGTTAAATGACTTGCTTGAAATTACAAACTGATGCCAAAATTCGGACCAAGTCTCTCTGGCGCCAGAACCCATGCTATTAACCGAAGTATGAGTACAAGGCTGGATGCCTCAGAATCATTGTGGAGAGCTTGTTAGAAATGCAGATTCCTGAGCTCCACCTCTGGGGGATCCTGGTTTACTAGGACTAGGGGTGGAAAGTGTGATTTATATTTTTAACCAGTGCTGTAGTTAATTCTGAAGTGGAGAGAGATCTGTGAGCCACTGTGATAACACCACATCATGCTGAGGGTAATAAGTGAATGAGCCTGCTGCCGATGTATCTGTCCACAGCATATCTGTCAGGAATTGTAACTGCAGAGCAGAGGTTCCTACCTAGGGTCCTTCCTGAAATTGTTTACAAAGAGTTTGGACTCTGTATATTTTTCTTTTCTTTTTTTTTTTAAAGATTGTATTTTTTTCCTTTTTCTCCCCAAAGCCCCCCCACCCCCCCGCCCCGGTACATAGCTGTACATTCTCAGCTGTGGGTCCTTCCAGTTGTGGCATATGGGACGCCACCTCAGCGTGGCACGATGAGTGGTACCATGTCGGCGCCCAGGACTCCAACCGCCGAAACACTGGGCCACCTGCAGCGGAGCGGGCGAACTCAACCACTCTGCCACGGGGCCGCCCCCTCTGTATATTTTTCTAAGTCTGTAGCTTTGTACATTTTCAAATAAGTCTGTGGCCCAGAAATGGTGAGGAATCACCCTTCTACAAGCTTTCTTGGTAACATCATCCTCGTTCACCTTGTACTTGAGGGAGAAGTGTGAGAAATGAAACACAGTTTGACCTAACCCCCTAGCCACAGCTCTCTGCCGCTGATACAGCTCTTTCATTTCCTGGCTTGAGGACAGGTTGCTAGGTTGCCCTTCTGTGAGCTCTTGAGGGGACCTCTCCTCTGCTGGATTTGGCATCCCTGGCCCCAGAGAAGGAGCAACTCCATGGAAACGGCATGCAGGGCTGTCTGGAGTGAATGGGCCATGAAGCCCAGTGACTGGGAAACCTGTTCCATTTTCCATGAATTCCGGTTCTTGGAGAGCAAGTCTTACTTCCCTTATGTAGACTGTGGCTAGGAGGCCCCTTGTGGGACTTGTTCTTGACTCCTGATGCTTGGAAGCAAGTGAACAATCTGATGCCCTTTGAGTGCTGTGTGGTTTGTCTTCAGCCTGCCAAGGTACTTTACCTGCACCTTTCTGCCTTCTTATTTACAACCCCAATACCTAGAGTTCCTTGGAGTAAACACTTCAAATCTGGAGATGAAGCACCTTCCATATGAGGACTGTGGCCTTTGTCTTGCAGATGGAATAGAGCTGCGGTGGTAGAGGGTAGAGGGTGTGAGAGGTAGAGAGAAGACTCAACTCATACAATCAGGGGTGACGCTAGCAGTAGCTGTTGGGTTTCCTTCAGACTCTTGCTTCTGCTCTCCAGTACCGTGACATCTGACCCTGGGTCTTAGCAGATTCTTGTTCTGTATTTAAATTGGCTTTATCGGCAAATTAGGGGATCTGCAGTTGGACCTGGTGGGAGTGAGATCAAATATGACAAAGGATAGATTTTAGAGCTCCAGCAAAAGATAGTGAAAGGAAATGGACTGTGTAAAGGTGCCTGGATTGGGCCATTAAAACAAAGCAAGGGGCTCTTCATGCAAGGCTGGGAGGAGGATTTGCTAAGATGGCTTCAATTGGATACAGAGCATCCCTTATCTCTGGCCTCTTGTGTGGGAGTGTGTTCTAATTCATGGCTCTAATGAGACCACATTTTCCAATTTCAACAAAGAAACCTTAAAAGCTTGAAGGTTAGGAGATAAAGCTTTCAGTTGAAACAATAATAGCTGCCCTTTGCTCATTGCCTCCTCTGTGCCAGGAACTTTCTATCTGTTATCTCACTTAAGCTTCTCAGCAACCCTGTTGAGACAAGCATTTTTATCCCATTTTGTAGACAGGGAAACTGAGTTTCATGGAAGTTAAGCAACTTGTATAAGTCCACATAACTTGTAAGTGGAGGCCCTGGGACTCCAGCCCAGGGCTGTCAGACTCCAGAGCCCAGGAACGGCTCTTCTCTGCTGTCTTCCAAAGAAGAAATTTCAAATGCACTCTGCAGACGACCCAGTGCTTTAGACTGATTTCAGCCTTTAAAACAATGTAGTTGTAATCTTACCTTGATTCTGAGATTTCATTTTATTTTTAATGAAACTACTAATATATCTTATGGAGCAACTAATATCCTGGGTACTATGCTAAGTATTTTATATACTTCATCTCATGTGACCTTCATGACAATCATTTTACTGATAAGGATACTGAGGCTCAGAGAGGTGAAGAGACTTGGCCAGGGTCCCAAAACTAAGAAGTGGCAAAGTGAAATTCACACCCAAGGCTGTCTGACTTCAGAGCCCGTGTCTTCATGCTATAACAGGCTGCAGCGGGGAAAACAAATATGGCCCTCATTCTAAATTGGCTCCTCTCTGTCAGCCACGGCTCTGTCTCCTCCCCACGGCCTGTGTCCCAGTGCCATGCACCACTCATGCTTGTAAGCCTCTGTGCCGTAAGCCTCTTCCTCAGTCTAGAATGCCTGCCCTCCCTCCTCAACTTAATGAGAGCCTACTGGTCAGTTAAGGATCAAATCAGATGCTCCTCCTCAGAGAAAGTGTTTGAGCGCTCCCTGTCCCAGGTGGACTAAATTGCTCTTGTCTTTCTGCTCTGACCTTGATTAGTGCATCTTTTATTTTGCCTTCCAGTATAGTTTAGCTCATCGTTGACCTGTCTCCTCCACTAGGTTCCCAAGCCCTTCGGAGCAGGCACCAAGTACTGTTCACCTCTAGCTTCACAGGGACTTGCCCGCAGTGACTTAGTAGATGATCACTATGTGTTTGCGAGCTGACCAAAGGACCAGCTGAGGGATGCCCTGAATGAATGGGCGAATGAGGGGCTGGATCCTGGGGGAGTCACACAGGCTGTCCATGTGGACTAGACTGGCCAGGGGAGGCTGGAATCCCTGGGCTCACTTTACTAGGCTGTAAATACGGCAGGCACATCCTAGGATAGCTGGGCTAACTGCTCGGGGCTGATTCCAGGCCCATTCTGTGGTCTCTACTTTGGAATTCATGTGAAGGGGCCAGACTGTCCGGAATTGTTTCTATGACACCTTTACATTCAGAGAAGAAAGGCCTTTCCTGCCTCCCGTGTGGACACAGGATTTGTTCCACCATACCACTTCTTCCGCTTCTGGCTGGCTTGAGAGTGTTGTGCAGGAGCATGTGCTCTGTGGAGAGAGATGGTGAAGTCAGGAAGAATCTTTTTTTTTTTTTTAATACCTTTTATCAAGGCCACCATGCCATGGAGTTCAAGCACTTTATCTTGTTTTATTTTATTAATCTTTGCAACAGCCTTTTGAGGTAGGTCCCTTGTCCTATTTTGTAGCTGAAGGAATGGAGACTGAGTTAAGTGTCTTACGTAAGGTCACACAGCTCAGCTAAGTGGTGGAGGCACAATTCAGTTTCAGGTCTGTCTGCCCCCAAAGCCTGGCTTCTTGACAGAAAAATACATGGGAGAAAAGTGGACTCCCTCCTCCCCCATTCAGTGGAAAGAATTAGATTTATAAAATGATGAATTAGGTGTTTAAGGTAAGGTGTTTCTAAGTTATTGTTCACCTTTAATCCCTGAGAATGATTGGCAAAAATGGCAGAAGGAATCAGGGATGGAAAAGCACGATTCCTCTATCAAATATTATCCTGAATTCCCCCATGTGAGCCCCCTGTGACATGCACAGTATGAGGATGCCTAGAGAGCATTTCACCTTGTCTGCTTATTTTATAACTGAGGTGGATGAGGCTCCAAGATGTCAGTGAATTTCTAGAGGTCATGCAGGAGGTTGATAACAGAACCGGCAGTTGGAATGCTGGTCTGCCAAATCTTAGCCCAGTTTTCTTTCTGAGAAGTAAGCCTGCCTTATGCAGTCAGTCAACACGTGTTTATAGGTTTCTCAGAAAAGTGTGGGGAGGAAGTGGAACATTATTGCACTCTGAAATAAAAGAGGGGACAGACATTTCCTTCCCCACCCATCCTTCTTTAGGTGCAGGTAAAACCTGGGGAAGAAGTCCCTTGCTAGGTGAGCTGGGGAATGTTGGGGGCCCACATGGCTTTGGGGGCCTGAGTGGATCTGCCTCCTGCCTGGGGGCAAGGGAGACATCTTCTTTGGCTCTGGAGAGATGGAGGTGGCTGCTTGGGGCCCAGAAGTGCCCCAGAGGGATGCAGGGAGTGGGCCTTTTGAGACTTTGCTCCTGACCAGTTCTCAGCTAAAGGGTCCCAGGCAGAGGGGCCCTCCCAGTCTCCTTCTGGCCATGAGGGTTAAGGAAGTGAGGCTTCAGGCAAACATGGAATGCAGGGTGGGGGAGGGGTGATGGCAGAGCACAGGAGCCTGAGCCTACAGCCCTCCACCAAGAGAGAGTGTGGCTCCAGGGAGGGCAGGGTTGTAAGGTCAGACTGTGGAGTCTTGGATGGAGCAGGAGCAAGAAGCCAGAGAGGAGCCCGTGGGGGTGATTCCGGGAGGAGAGGCACTTAGAGGCAGGTCCTGGGTGTGTCAGCCCAGGGAAGGCTGCAGTGGGCTTCCTGCAGTGCCTGCCTTCTACCCCTCCCTCGGGGACTCAGCCTGGGGCACCCCTTTGACCCTATTGTCCCTGTTGAGCAGGCCATCAACTGCAAGCATAATTACAGCCCCAATACCCTCCTTCCCTCAGGACCACCCAGCCCAGGATTCTGTGTGCAAACTCCGGGTCTGCAATTCCTACCAGGCTACCTGTCAGTCAAGATGTGAGTGCCCTGCCAGGTCTTGGGTCGTCGTGTCCTCTCCCCCTCTCCTCCTCTCTTCCTCTCCCCTACCCATGCAGCTCTATGCTTCCTCTCCTCCACACACCATCTCCCACTGCAGCACTTTCTTTCCTCAGCCCAGTGGAGCCCCTATTTCTTTCACAACAAAATCCTTCAGGTTCTCAGATCTGCAGTAAGCATTCATTTCTTCTTGATCCCAAATTTCCTTCTTGTGCCCTGGCTCCCTATTTACCTCTCATACTACCCCACGTGCTCCTGGATCATTCTGGGATGAGAGCAATCCTTTAGAGTCCTTACACTGCCTCTTCCCTCTGTCCCTCTGTATAGTGGTTCTGAACCAGAGACAATTTTGCTCCCGCTCCCAAGGGACATATGACAATATCTAGAGATATCTTTTCCTTGTCATAGCTGAGTGGGTCACAACTGGTACTACCGGCATCCAACGAGAAGAGGCCAGGATGCTGCTAAACATCCTACGGTGCACAAGACAGATACCTACAACAAAGAATTATCTGGCCCCAAAATGTCAATAGTGTCAAGGGTGGGAACCCCTGCTCTATCATATATCTACAGGTCTACAAGGTTAGGCTTGAAAATTGCCAGGTGTGGAGTCTTTTGGTGCTAAACTTCCAGGAACAGCTACTTTTTCTGTTTCTCAGTTGGGAGTAGGGGGCAGGGCGTTGCCATGAAACAGCTACAGCATGGTTAGGAATCTACAGAAAGAGAGATGAGGGAGATTCCCTGCTCCCCAAATTTGCTACCAACTTTTAGAGAAAGTACCGGGCTATAACTTTTGAATGCCTTTCTGCTTCTGTCAGATAGTGCCACTTTTTGGAAAGAGAATAGCAGGTTATTATTCTAGCAGTTTATTAAATGCAGAATTTCATGTGGTGAAAGTTGAATAAAATAGGTTTTGGAGCCTTCCTTCCCCAATTTCATTTTCTTCAATCTTAAACCTTCTTTGAATCTTAGAATATCTGCTGTGTCAGCAAAACACTGTAGAGGTGACTGTTCAGAAAAACTAACTGCCTTTGTTTTAATTTAAGGTTGATTTCTTCCTTAAGAGTGTGCCTATTTCTCAGAAATTGGCCCAGAGAGTTGCTCGTTTCCTTAGAGCTGAGTTTTTTGGGGCTCTGTTTCTAAGCAGTGAAAATGCTCACCAACAAATTTAATGGTCCGTCTAACCTCTTTTTCTCCACTCTTGCCAGTTCCTTGCGTCTGCACGCAGTTGTCCTCAGCATGGGGGAACAGGACCACTCTCCTGGGAAGGAGCTTCAGCACTGGATACGAACAGAGGCTCCAGGAAAGAAAAGCTGGCACCCCCAGGCCTACGCCCTTGGGGCTGTTTCCAACTTTATGTCTACTTTTCTGACCTTTCCTATTTATAAGGTTGTGTTCCGGCAACAGATCCATGCTGTGGCAGTATCAGAGGCTGTACGACAGCTGTGGCATGAAGGCCCTCAATACTTCTACCGGGGAATCTACCCACCCCTTCTCTCCAAGACATTGCAAGGGACTCTGCTGTTTGGGACTTATGACAGTCTGCTGTACTCTCTCTCCCCTGTTGGGCCACATTCCCTGGGACACCGCTGGGCTGCAGGGCTCATGTCTGGTGTGGTGGAGGCTGTGGCACTCAGCCCCTTTGAAAGGGTGCAGAATGTGCTCCAGGATGGTCGCAAGCAAGCTCGCTTCCCCAGCACCTTCAGCATTCTCAAGGAATTCAACTCTTATGGGTTTTGGGGGCGGCTGTCTCTGGGCTACTATCGTGGTTTCTGGCCTGTCCTTCTCAGGAACAGCCTGGGGAGTGCTCTGTATTTCTCCTTCAAGGACCCCATCCAGAATGGCTTGGCACAGCAAGGCTTGCCTCATTGGGTCCCTGCCTTGGTGTCTGGGAGTGTCAATGGAACAATCATCTGCCTCGTTCTGTATCCTCTGATTGTGCTAGTTGCCAATATGCAGTCCCAAGTTGGCTGGCAGAGCATGCCAAGCCTGTGGGCCTCTGCCCAGGACGTGTGGGACACTCGGGGCCGAAAGGTGTTCCTAATCTACCGTGGAGGCTCCCTGGTCATCCTAAGGTCCAGTGTGACATGGGGCCTCACTACAGCTATCCATGACTTCCTGCAGAGGAAGTTTCATTTCAGGAAAGAGGTGAAAGACTGACTAGCTACAGCAAATGTGGCCATGGCAACTTTGTTATTCTAAGCTTTTCCAGGTTGGTCATAGCTTACTTTTTTGGCTTGGTTACCTAATACAACCATTCTATAGCATTTTTGAACTATCAGTGCACTAGAGAAGTTCCCAACTACCAGCCTATTGGGCACAGACAAAGCCCAACAGGATTCCTTGGTCAGAAAGAGAAAGTCACCCTAGTCTCTCCACAGCTTCAACAACCTCAGACTCACGTGGACTTTGAATAACTTGTAACCTAGATGAAATGTCATTCCTTTAAGGAATCCCTTGACAATAAGAGGAAACTTTAAAAGATGACTTTAATTGGGGCACTGTGAGTTCTGGGACCCCTCCAGTTGTCCTCTGGACTAAACCGAGTGGAGGACCAGGAACTCTCATTTCAAAGGACTAAGCTTGATTCTTAGGATGGGGATTCCATAGAACTTCTCAGATGGCTGCATTTTCATGGCATTATTCACTACTGCCCCCCAACTACTCTCACTTCTCAAGGCTGTGAGTCCTAGTTTCAAAGTGGCAATTGTGGCTGGAAATCCTAAATTAGACTTGCCTCAACTCATCAAGTGCCACAAGAACTGGTGGAGCTGGAGGTGGGAGTGGGAAGAGGTGTGGTCCCTGGATGGATAGAAAGAATAGACTTTGAGGGAAGAGTGTAGTTGCATGCAAAATAGAAAAATTTACTGTAGATTGCTTGGTGTTATCTGCTGGGACATTTTTGATAGCAATGCGATAACATTTCCTAGAAACCACTTGAGTTTCCCTAAGAAATCTGGAAGTAAATGACCATATCTCTTCACAAATAATTGCATATTTTATTGCTGTGAATAAATATAGTTACTGTGACATAAAAAGATCAGAAATCTTAGCCTGTCATTCAGAGCCATTCAAAATATGGTCCCTATATAACTTACAGCATTTTATACACCATTGCCACTTAAATAGATCTCATACACTGGCCAAACTGGACTATTCTCTCCCCAAACATGCCGCCAACTTTCCCATGGCCTTGCTTTGGCCCACACTATTCTCTCCATCTGTAGTCTCCCTTCTCCACATGCCAGTCTGCCTTCTAGTTCCTCAAAGCCCAGCTCAGGTGCCACCTTCTTTGTGGAACCTCTTCTGATTTCCCACTGAATGTGATGTTAATCTCTCCAATAACACTTCATACATGGCACTGATTCCATTATGTCACTGATCTCATGTGGCCCTGTGTTCTTCTTGGTGTTCTTCAATACCTCCTACTAGATTGTCAAACTCCTTGAAAGCAGGGATTCTTATACACATTTTTAAATCTCCCATTGTGCCTAGGTGCTCAATAATGTTGGTTGAATTATTGAGTTGATTGTCAAGCTGTGATATGGTCTTTATCCTCAGGGTGCTGTCCCTTGTACATGAAGATACTGTTGACTCACTGTCAGCAAGACACATGCCTTTGGGGTGTGATTTTCTTTTATTAGTGGATTTAGTTTTGTGCTAATGATAATGATGCTGCTGCTGATAATAATAACAGTAATAAAAATGACTTTAAACTGGAACATTTGATGAGTTTGTGTTATTGATGGCACCTTTGCTATTAGCAGCACTATAGGAACTGAAATTTCACAAGCAGAAACATTGCATAACTGTCCCATTCATTTCAACTCTGGAATTTTGAGGATTTACAACATGACATGTTGCAGATTTCCCCTTATAGCTGATATCATGATGATGACTTCCGCTTGCACATCCTTATCGAACTGAACATGTCATTTATAATGACCTGATTATAGATCCTAGTAATGAGAATTCCTCACTGAATATCACAGAAATTAAAGACATAGCTGTAGACGGTATGAGATCAGAGAGCGTTTGCCAGCGAGGTTAACAGAAAATGGCTGGTCCAGAATAGCTGCAGACCAGTTCCCACATCTAATCCCTGTGCAGACCTGGACAGGGTGGGACAGAACTCTGCTTGTGGATTCAAGGTTGGGGAACACGGGGTCTGCACAAGGGAAGGAAAAATAGAACAGCAACTAGTTATAGTTCAAGGCTAGCTCTCAGAAGGACGAAAATATTCTTTACAAAAATCCATAACTTGGCTATGGCTTTGATTTTTAAGCTGAAAAGAAGGGAATAAACTACCATATTCCCCCACTTTTTTATCCAAGAGATACATTTATTTGCAAGTATGCTGTTGTCGATGAAAACAATCCATAAGCAATCCATAAATGAAAATTTGGGTGAGTTTATTCTGAGCTAAAATGTGAGGACCATGGCCCGGGGCCTTTTTTCCTAAAGGAAGGAAGTGTGCCAAAGAAGTGGGGTATACAGAGTAGTTATATACCCTCAAAGAGGATGTTTCACACACGATTGAAATGCCCCTTTTACAATAGTCGCAAGACTGCTCTGTCGGCACAGCGATTGATGGACACAGCAGGTAGGTCTGCTATCTAGGCGGGTGCAGCAGGAAACAAGTCTGTTGTCTCGAGCTGGGTGGTCACAGGTGAGCTGGGTGGTCAAAAGTGAGCCCAGCAATCAGTTCCTGGTCTAAAGAAAGATGCCTATCCTTAAGGAAACGCCAATGTGGGGGGAAGTTGCACCTTTATCTTAAGGCCATTTGTTCTTGCCACAGTAAATGTTTAAAGCAGATATACAGTGCATGCTTGATGCCCATGTCAGGCCCTTTTGGAAAAACAAAGGCCGAATTAGGTTTACACTAAATGACTTCCGCATATACTCCAATATATCCTATTGCTTGCCATTTCTATTTGTCACTATCGATTTCCACTTATGTCACTGTGTCAGTCCATATCCCTTTTTTCATTTTAACTTCTTATTTAGAAATAATTTCAAACTTATAAAAAGTTGCCAGTGTAAGTAAAGTATAGAGAACACCCATATAGCCTTTACCCAAATTCACCTAATTCTCTGTCCACACACACATATTTTTTTCTTGAACTATCCAAGAGTTGCAATTTTAATATTTCTAGATTCAATATGTGTAAATTAAAATTCTTTTAAAAAGACCGTGTTTTATCTCTATGACAATGGCACAGTTAGTTATTATAGAATATTAGAAAATGAAAACTCATGGCATGTTTTAAAGCTATATTCATGGTCATTGTTTAAATTTACTATATTTGCCTTTATAAAAATTTTAAATTTACATTATTTGTGTTAATACTTGAAGCTATGCAATTATAATTTAAACACAGATTTACAACTAAAGCCTGTGATAATTTAAATGATTGATTTTTACAAATTGGTTCATGTGAAAACTTAGGCAAAATTATAAAATTATGTAGACCTATCCAATTTTTCCACTTAAATCTTCTGAGTAAAGTTTGGATGTAATAGTTTTCTACCTAGTAAATGTAAATATCAATAGTTTTGTGATGTTGATGTGGTTATATTTTCTGACATTTTTTTTCTTTTTCAAAAACAGCTTTATTGATGAATAATTGACATACAATAAAGTGCACATAATTTGCGTGCAATTTGATAAATTTTGACATGTATATACCTGTGAAATCATCACCCCAATCAATATAATGAACATATCCATCACTCCAAAAACTATATTAGTTTGCATTTTCTAGAGTTTTATGAAAATGGAATCACAAAGCACACACTCTTTCTTCTCTGTTTTTTTCATTCAGAATAATTATTGTTTTTTTGTTTTGTTTTTTTTAATTTTTAATTTTTTCAGATGTACATCATATTTCAAATTCTGTATACATTACATCATGTTCACCACCCGAACATTAATTATAGTGCATCCCCTCACATGTGACCCTAATCACCCCTTTTACCCCCCCCCCCCACTTCCCCAATGGTAACCACCAGTCCAATCTCCAATGCTATGTGGGTTTTTTTTGTCGTTTTTATCTTCTACTTATGAGTGAGATCATATGGTATTTGACTTTCTCCCTCTGACTTATTTCACTCAGCATAATACCCTCAAGGTCCATCCATGTTGTCACAAAGGCCGGATTTCGTCATTTCTTATGGCTGAGTAGTAGTCCATCGTGTATAAATACCACATCTTTTTTATCCATTCGATGAGTTTTGGACCTGAAGTCAATAAAATAAAGAGGTAATAAATACCTATGTCTATTTAAAACTTATAAAATGTAGAATGTAACACTAAAGCTACTTGGTAGAAAAAGTTGAAAGAATAAAAATCCGTGTATAAGCACTGTATATTTCTGTCTAAATATAAACTACATCAGCTTTTATAAAGATCAAGGTAAAATAATAACTAATGTATAGCAACTATTATCACAATTATGTGGTTTATTAAGACAATTTTGCTTTAGAAATGTATTTTTAAATAGTAAATAACGTAGTTTACATGTTTGGGATAACTGATATAGTATGGTATATTAATGTTAATAAAATAATGTTATATATGAGAGAAAAAAGCATAATAAACCAGGAGAAAAGTGAAGTTTTCATAAAAGAATAAGATTTAAAAAATACTATATTTCCCTATTCTGTTCACTCTCCAACTTCTCTGTTTCTTTCACACCATCTTCCTTCTCGTTAATCTGCTATGCCTCCTCCCCCATCTTCAGTCCCAGCTGGTGACCTTGCTTTCCATTTCATTAAGAAAAGAGAAGCATTCAAGAGAACTGCCAGTTAAAGGAATATTTATAAAGCTCTCACCCATGGAAGGACCACCCCGGAGAAGAAATAGAACACCTTGCTAACCCCCTCCTCCTCACTCCCCAACCCCCAGCCCCCTCACTGATGACATTCCTCCACCCATCCTAGAGGTAACCTCTATCCTGACCATTGTGATATCATTTCTTTGCTTTACTTTATAGGTTTATCTTCCATACAAGCATCCCTAAACAGCACAGTTTTGTTTTACAGACATTTGAACTTTATGTACTTTATATACCTGGAATTGTGACTATCTTCTTTCACTCCACATTATTTGTGAGCGTCATCCATGTTGTTGCAGGTAGCTGTAATTATTTCATTTTTAAAAATTGTGATTAATTTTTTTAAAAGTCTCTTAGAAAAGTTCCTTAGAGCAGTTTTCGATTCACAGCACGTTTGAGAGAAGATACAGAGAGTTTCCATATACCCCCTGCTTCCACACATACGTAGCTATAACCACGGGCCTGCTAGGACCGGTTCACTGACCCCATCTTATCAACAGGGTAATTAAGAGTTGTTTTTCAGGCTCTGAGAATCCCCCCTTGTCCAGTTCAGGCCGCTTGAGACCACCAGCCCATCAACTGGGCCTGTGCAAATGCCCAATCAGTGACCCTTTTCATATCGAGGGACTGAAACTTCACCCCGAGATCATACTAACACCACCATTTTGTGAACACACATCCTCTGAAGAGCCATGAAGCTCGACTACACTTGCGCAGATCATGGATTACCTCACTTCTCCTTACCTCCAATCATCTATCTCCACACTTCAGACTGCCCTGCCCTTCATCCCATAAATTTTGCCCCAAGCCCTGGATTGAGGAGACAGATCTGAGAGCATATGCTGCCTGTCTCCTTGCAGATTGATCTCACAATGAAGCTGTTTTCTTTTCCCAAAAGCTGATGCCATAATAATTGGCTCTTTATGCACATCAGACAAGAGGAAAACAATTTTGTGCATTAACATAGCCTCCCCCATTATCAACGTCCAACATCAGAATGGTACATTTGTTACAAGTGATGAACCGACATCATTATCAAAGTCCATAGTTTACTGTACGGTTCACTCTTAGAGCTGTATATTCTATGGGTTTGGACAGATGACATGTATCCACCGTTATAGTATCATACAGAGTAGTTTCACTGCCCCCCAAATCCTCTGTGCTCCACCTATTCATCCCCTTCCCACACCTTCTGGCAACCACTGATCTTTTCACTGTCTCTACAGTTTGAACTTTTCCAGAATTTCATATAGCTGGAATTATACAGTATGTAGCCTTTTCAGATTGACTTTTTTCACTTAGTGATATGCATGTAAGGTTCCTCCACGTCTTCGTGGCTTGATAGCTCATTTCTTTTCAGCACTGAATAATATTACATTGTCTGGATGTATGAAAGTTTATTTGTCCTTTCACCTACTGAAGGACATCTTGGTTGCTTCCAAGTTTTAGTGGTTCTGAATAAAGCTGTTATAAGCATCGACATGCAGGTTTTTGTGTGGACACAAGTTTTCAGCTCTTTTGGATAAATACCAAGGAGCACAATTCCTAGATTGCATAGTAGGCATATGTTTAGTTTTGTAGGAAACTGACAAACTTCAAAGTGGCTATACCACCAGCAAAGAATGAGAGTTCCTGCTACTCCACATCCTCCTCAGCATTTGCTGTTGTCAGTGTTCTGAATTTCAGCCATTCTAATAGGTATGTAGTGATATTGTTATTTGGTTATTTCACTTTCTTTGCTGTATGTACCATTGTATGAAGATACCATAATTTATCCTTGATAACTTTGAGGGACATTCTGGTTGTTTCCAGTTTTTGACAGTTACAAAACAGAAACACAGGTGTCTTTAGAATATTTTTACCTAAGAGTGGAATTGCTGGTTTCT